ATTCCTGGAACCAAAAGTACATTATCTAATATAATGAATCTATCTCCAAAAAACAACTTTAAATTATCTACTGATCTTGCTGTTCCAACCTCTCTTGTTCCAACCCTGAGTGTTATGTCGCCATCCGCAAGCATTCTCTAGGAGCTAGTTTCTTGGTAAAAAGAATAAATATGATTAGTGGCTCCTGAATCTAGTATCCAAGTTGAGTTATCATACTCTACTAAACATATTTCTACAACGAGTAAATCATATTTACCTTGTTGTGTCTTTTCGGCTTTATTCTCTGCAAGGTATTTTGGGCAGTTTCTCTTCCAGTGCCCGTTTTCGTTGCAATGGAAACATTTTCCTTTATATGCTTTTTGAACCTTGCGGTTAGTAGGAATCTTATTTTTCCCTTTACCCTTCTTCTTCATCAAAACTTTTTTAGAAGTTGAAGATCCAGACTTATTTTTGGAGGACGATCCTCGTAGTAATTTCTTGGAGATGACAACATTTGCTTCTCCTGTTTGTCCCTTGTTCGTTAAGAGGGACTGATAAGTCTGTAGCTCATTGAGAAGAGCAGTCAAGTTATATTCTATTTTATTCATCACCACATTTGTGCGGAACTAGAAGAAGCTCTTCGGAAGAGACATCATGATAAAACTGACTTGACTCTTATCATCAATGACAGTTTCATTTTCTTCTGCCACATTGAAATGGACCATCATGTCCAGGACATGTTCTCTAACTGAGGTCTCTTCTTTCATACGGCAGTTGTAAATGTATTTGATGGCTTCATGTCTAAGGGAGAAGGACGGTTGTCCAAACACCCCTTTTAGAGATTCCATAATCTCTTTAGCAGTACCCATAATATCGTGTTTCTTAGCCAAAACATCAGATATGCTGGCTAGAATGTACACTCGGGCTTTGCCATTTGCCTTTATCCATATATCATACGCACCCCGAACTGTTCGGTTTGCATTTGAGCTGGGGTTTGGAGGACATTCCTTAGTTAAAACAAACCTTAAATCATCAATTACAAGTAATTGTATTATTGAGTTTGTCATGCTGTGATATAAAGAAAATTCTATTAGTAATTTGACCTAATCCTGTTTAATCCAATCAGTTTTAGCAAATGTAATAATGTACCTAAAAATTATTAATTTGCAACGATACCTTAATGAGTTAGAGCAATTGCTATCGAAGGGCAGTCAATCACTCATTCACTAAACCAAGACATTTTTGACTGAAACATTAATTCCAGAATAACTCTTGGTCAAGAATTATCTTTGACTCTTTCATAATTTAAGAATATACTGACTCTTCCTAATCAGTAGTGAGTTAGAGCAATTCCTATAGTGTTTTAGTTATCGCTATTTTGGTCAAGAATATACTAACTCTTAGTAATTCTTCGCAAGTGTGACCCACCAATTTCAGACCTCAGAGATTGGTCCCAACAACGCTATCGAATAAAAAAGCCAAAGTTAGGAATGGACCTGAGAAATCCTATCCATTTCTGGAGTTTGCGTTGTTTCGACTCCCATGTTACGACCCTCCGAATGGGTAGTTGCTCGTGGAAGTTAGGGAAGAGTTCATGGAAGATTATGAAGGGTGCTACGGTGGTAGCACGTGGCTCAAAATCTGGAACCTTATACACCACTGTAGGGTTTATGAACATAGCTGCTGTTGCTGAGAGTGCTTCAAATTCAAGTCTACGGCACAATGGATTTGAACATATGAGCGCGAAAGGAATGAAGAGGCTGGCTGCGAAAGGAGTTTAAGAAGGTCTAAAATCTATTGATGTGGGTCGTTGTGAGAACTACATTATGAGCAAGCAGAAACGAGTTAGCTTCACAAGGACCGCCAGATAATTGAAGAAAGTGCGGTTGAAAATGGAACCATATGTGGGGCAAGGTTCGACGAAGCAAGTGGGAGTTAAGCTTGAGTTGCAGGAAAACTCACTTAGTGATGTTGTAGCAGATACTCATGAAACTCCTGAAACTACTGCTGAGGAACCAGATGGGGAGCAAGGTTCCAAGACAACGAAGCAAGTGGAAGTTGAGCTTGAGCTGCAGGAAAACTCACTTAGTGATGTTGTAGCAGATACTCAAGGAAGTCCCGAGACTACTGCTGAGGAACCAGATGTGAAGCAAGGTTCCCAGACAACAAAGCAAGTGAGAGTTGTGTTTGAGTTGCGGAGAAAATCACCTAGTGATCTTGTAGCAGATACTCAACAAACTCCTGAGGTTGTTGCAGAGGAACCAACAGTAAAGCAAGTGGCACCTGAATCGGTGTTGAGAAGATCATCCTATACTATCAGAGTACCGATATGTATGTACCTTCATTACACTATCTGTTGTTGATGAAAAGAAACCAGAGCCCTTTGATGAGGCCCTACAGTTGGAGGATACAACCAAGTAGGAGCAAGCCATGGATGATAAGACGTCTAGGCTTCAAAAATGCGTTGTACTGAGGCTGAGTACGTGGCAATAGCTGAAGCTGGAAAGAAGACGATATGAATGATTGACTATCTGAAAGAATGGGCAAGAAGTTGCACGAAAATATTCTTTATAGAGATAGTCAGAGTGTCATACAGTTGGCGAAGGAACCCGGTCTATCATTTAAAGAAAAAACACAGAAGACGATACCATTTCACTTGCAGGTTAATGAAAGATGGTGATGTGTTTGGAGAAGCTAGAGGGTGCAAAGAATCCAGCAAACATGGTGACAAAATGTGTCGATGTTGGAATATTGAGGTTGTGCAAAGCTTCAATTGATATGGTGCTTGAATACCTACGCTCAAGACTTCATACGTTCCAAGCAATGTAGTCTTAAAAGCTACATCCAAGGCTTCTTACGTTTCAAGCGATGTAGTCTGAGTCATGAGCATACTGTATCGTGAGAGGTCAAAGAGTTTCTTGAGTTTTTTGAGTTTGAGGACCATGGTTCCTGTTAGTGAAAGAGGGAGTGATTGAATAGTTGATGAGAAGATTTTAATTATGAAGAGCAAGAATGCTCTCTATATATATAAAATACAAGAAGATATTTAGAAAGTCTACCTAAAAATCTGCAGAAAATCTGATAACGAACCAGTAAACAAATCAAATCAAAATCTAATCGAATCAAAAGTAAATCAAATAAAAAACTATCTCTAGCTCTTAACGGAGATTTAATTAGATACTAACTAATAGCAATCTAAACAAATACATGATCTTTAACACTCCTTCTTGTTTAGATGCTGTGAACTCCAAACTTTTTTCTGAACACCCATCTTGCTCCAATTATCTTTCAATTTAGAGGTCGATCAACCAACTCCCAGATTTTGTTTTTCTCGATCACTGAAAGCTCCTCCTCTGACAGGTGCATCATCAACCAAAGCTTTGGTTGTTCATCTTCAGACTCTTCTAACATGCTACCAAAGATTAAATTGTTTGGTGCATTAGAAATCTAATTCACCTTCGTCAGTTCTTCCCAATTCCATTGCTCATTTCTAGGAAAATGAACATTTCGGCTCACAACAACACAACTAATGTGTGGTTGAAAAACTCTGTAAGTTTTTGATATAATGCTATACCCATGAAAAATGTCGGCTTCTGCCTTTTTGTCAAGCTTATCACACTTGACCTGTGGAATGTAAGTGAAGCAAAGACACCCAAATATTCTAAGAAACTTTATAGAAGGTTTGTACCAATACCAAACTTCAAATGGTTTCAGGTCCTTGACATCTTTTGTTGAAATTCGATTTTGCAGGCACACAATAGTGTTTGCTGCTTTTCCCCAAAAACTTTTTGGAAGATCCTTCTCATGAAGCATGTATCTCGTCATCTTCCTTATGAATCTATTCCTCCTTTCACTGACGTCATTCTGTTGAGGAGTGTATGGTGCTGTCAATTGATGTTCAATTCCAGCCTCTTCACAAAACCTTTTAAAGGTTTCTAAAGTGTACTCCTTGCCATTATCTGATCTTATAGTTTGAATTAAGCATGCACTTTCATTCTCAACTTTGGCTTTGAATTTTCGAAATACACCCGCAACTTCTGACTTTTGCTTCAGCAAGAAGATCCAACACATTCTTTTTAGATCATCAATAAAAACAGTGTAATAAAGATTACCATTTAATGATGGTGTTCGCCGAGGACCACAAAGATCAGTATGAACTAGTTGCAGTTTTTTCGGGACTTTCCATGCCTGTATAGGAAAGGGTTGCCTATGTTGCTTACCAAAATTACAAGCACGGCAAAGAGGCATGTCATCATCAATGTCAGCGAGTCCTTCTACCAGCTTCTTTGACTGCATCTGAAGCAAACCTGGATGATGAAAGTGTCTAAGTCTTTCCATGCCTGTTTAGGAAAGGGTTGCCTATGTTGCTTCCCAAAATTACAAGCACGGCAGAGAGGCATGTCATCATCAATGTCAGCGAGTCCTTCTACTAGCTTCTTTGACTGCATTTGAAGCAAACCTCGATGTTGAAAGTGTCTAAGTCTTTTGTGCCAAATCTCAATGGCACTAACTCGGGATATAAAGGCCGTTGGATTTAGAGCAAAGCTTTTTCCTTTCATTTTGACATTGAACAAGTCTTTGCCACTAGCATCTTTGATCAAGCACTGCTTATTCTCAAACAATGCTTTATAGCCTTTATCAAGTAACTGACCAACAACGCTTAACAGATTTTGATCAATTTTAGGTACAAATAAAACATCTAGAATAAATTTTGTACCTTCATAGCTTGTTATAGCTACTGTGCTTTTTCCCTTGACTTCCAAGTGTTCACCATCTACTTCTTTCACAGGATCTTTGGCTTTGCAAATCACAACTTCATGTCCAAGTTGAGTGCATTTGGAGTAGTAGGCTTCAGATCTTCTCCAATACTTGTATGGTGGATGACTTTTCTTCTCACAATGACGGCAAGGTGGATAGGATTTTTTGGAACCTCCTCCTTTTGTCTTTTGATAATTAGCAAATGAATCTCCATACGACAATTGGTTTTTGAAAATTTTCTTGTTTTTATACCTACTATTGTCTTAATGCTTGACATGTAAGGCACCTTCAATCACCCCTTCTTGCCTCATTGACCTCCTTTGCTCTTGTGCTTGTAAAGCATTCAAGAGCTGTGTAAGAGAAATCTTTGACAAGTCTTTGGTGTTCTCTAGAGTAGTAATGGTGACTTCAAACTTCTCTGGAAGAGTGACTAGCGTCTTTTCAACGATCCTGGAATCATTTAATATAGAATCAAGCAATCTCACCTTGTTGGCAATGTTGAGAAGTATGTGAGAGTACTCTTTCACTGATTCAGACTCCTTCATCTTCTGCAACTCGAAATCCCTAATCAAATTCAGGACTTTAATTCCACAAATCTACTCATCTCCTCCATATTCAGCCTTGAGATAATCCCAGATTTCCTTTTCTCTTTTGAGGGACATTATTCACATGAAGATCATTTGAGATACAGCGGCAAATAGGCAAACTTTCGCCTTTGATTTCCTTGTCTTCTTTTCCTTATGTAATTTGATTTGTGCTACAGTAGAATTTACTGGAAGCAAAGGGACCTCGTAATCCTCTTCTAATTCTTCCCAAAGATCCAAGGACTCCAAATAAGTCTCCATACAAACTTCCCACACTTGATAATTGTCTCCATCGAATACTGGTGCAACAGCTGAAAAACTGGATTCTCCTCCCATTTTGATCTCACAGATCCCTTAAGAAGATAGCTCTGATACCAATCGTCAGTGAAAGAGGCAGTGATTGGATAGTTGATGAGAAGATTTTAATTATGAAGAGCAAGAATGCTCTATATATACAGAGAATTAAAAAACATATTTAAAAAATCTACCTAAAAATGTGCAGAAAATCGGGTAACAATAAACAAATCAAATCAAAACAAAAGTAAATCAAATCAAAACTAAATCAAATCAACACTAAATCAAATAAAAAACTAACTCTAACTCTAACTCTAACTCCTAACGGAGATTTAATTAGGTACTAACTGACAACAATCTAAACAAGTACATGATCTTTAAGAGTCCCTTATTCTTGAGTGGTACATAACATTCTTCTTATCTTTGATGTAGAGCTTGTAAGGTATTATTTTTTGCTCTTATTCTATAATTTATGGAGTTCTTAATTCCTTGTAGCATAAGTCATAACATGCATTCTTAAGCTCCACATAACTTAATGTGCATGAATCATTCGTAGTGTATTCTTTAGGTAATTCTAGAAGAGTTTGGTACGTTAGGCAAGAGGTATTTCCTTTAAGCATTTCTTAGGCCTTAACTTTATTTGAGTTTCAAACTTGCTCTCATTAACATGAAATCTTAAACATATCTTTATATTCTTGGGAATAGGCCTTATAAGAAGTAATAAATCATCATGAGAGTGTTTAGCCTCCGTTGAATTACTCCGTGACAGTGCAGAAATCGGTTTCTTTAATGTGAATTTTATATAAAAATAGAGAAAATAACAACCGTTAAAACACATTTTCAAGTAGTTTTTTTGGTCTAGTGGTATTATTCTTGCTTTGAGTGTGAGAGGTCTTGAGATAGATTCTCGAAATGTCCCTTATTTCATCTTTTTAGATTTCACTTCGTCTTTTTTATTTTCCTGTAGGAAATTCTTTTCTTTATAAGGAAAATCCTAATCGAGTACGAAAACATATATCAAGCAAGAACCAATAATTGTATGTCCATCCAACGACATTATTTACAACTTAATTAAACATAACTTGATAAGATATGGACTTTATTTATGTCAATCTTTTTAATATTAATTGAAGTACATTCAAATGATTTGAAGAACTAATTCTATCGTGGGATGGACAACCTGAAATTAACGTGACTATAATATTAAGTTCTAAAGCAAAAAATACGTTGATATATTTTAAATCTTGAGGTGCATAAAGCACGTGGACTTGCAACGAAAATGATAGATCTACAAGAAGGGCACTTGGTCTAGTGGTATGATTCTCGCTTAGGGTACGAATACTCGTAATAGTAAGCTTGCTTTGTCCCTTTTTAGCAACGCCTATTTCTATTTATGTAGGTTCTAAAGCACACGGATAAATTTCAAATTTTGAGTTGCAGAAAACACATTGACTAGCAATTAAAAATTAATGATATATTGCAAGGACATTTGGTCTAGTGGTATGATTCTAGCTTCAGGTGCGAGAGGTCTTGAGTTCGATTCTCAAAATGCCCCCACAACAAACTATCAAATTTGAAACATGTGATGTTAGGTCTGAGGTATAGCAAAATAATTGTACCACTTTCTACAACTTTCTCTTTTGTAATTTCTTGTGAATAAAGAATGAATCATGATTGAGCAGTCTGATTTCAAGGGCCTTGTATTACAAAGGAGGGGCACAAATTCTCAATTTATCTAATTAAAGGAGGGGGTTCTCATTTACTCTAATGTAAGATGTGCCCAAGTAACCGGTGAACAATAGTCTTCAAAGAAGAGGCGGAATGGAGAATAAGAACGCGAGGAGCACAAAAATTTCCAGCAAATCAAGTAAGGAAGAAACAACCAAAAGGCTAACTGGAGCCTGACTTCAAAGTCCTTACAAGGAGGGGACAAAGATCCACAAATATCTATTCCTTAACTGTTGTCGAACAACCAGAAAGGCTGACTGGAGCCTAACTTAAAAAGCTTTACAAAGGAGGGAGGCACAGATTCACATATTCTTGATTGCTTTATAGGTGAACAACTAGAAGGGCTAACCGGAGCCTGACTTCAAAGGCCATAGATAGGAGGGGGGAACAAATTCGCAGATTCTCGATTGCTTAACCGGTGGACAACTAGAAGGACTAACTGGAGCATGACTTCAAAGGCCTTACAAAGGAGGGGCACATATTCACAGATTCTCGATTGCTCTGATCACCCAATAATAGTTTTACATAAGTCATCGGTCATCAGAATCCTATTATGGAAGATGCACCAAAGTAACCGGTGATTAATAGCTTTCAAAGAAGAGACCAAACGGAGAATATGAGTGAGAAAGACACAAATTTTAAGCGAGTCGAGTAAGGAAGAAAGAATCAGTAGGATCAATTTTGGGTCAGGTTTAAACTCAAATTTGTGACTTACTAGCCCAAATTCCATATGTGGTAAAAAACTTCCGTGGCCCAACCCTCATTCGCAACCCGGATCCCACCAATGCCTTTTCAACCTACATGCATGCTCCTTGCACAGATCACGCAAATTGTCAGAAGATTTGGCCCACAATCTGGAAGCCATGACCCGTGCATTAATCTGTGACATGAACTTCGACCCCAAATTCCTAGCTATGCCACTCTCATGTGTAGCCTGCATTTGCACTTTTTCAGCAATGGGATAGTAAATGTGCAACATTTTTTCTAACTCAACAAACAAGTCAACTGGGGAAAATTTGGACTGCATCGACAATAATCGCATATGCTCGAGCCTCGGGTCACGTTTGAGAGAAATGTTATGAAAAATGTGAGCGAGAAAATATGTTGAAAAGAACTTTAAAAAAGCAATGTTATAAGCTAAAAACTAATGAGCAACAACAACGAGTTTGATAGCATATAACCAAGGTATGAAGAATTGACAATTAGTCACATTCCCCTATATTACATTTTGGGGCATTTTAACCCTGGTGGGGTGACCGGTCCATACACACTGTATTGGTACAACAATATTAGTAAAGGCCTACCTAACAAGAAAGCAAATAAAAGGGATTGAAACGGGAATGCGCCCAATGACTACAAATTGTTGACAAGCATGGCTGAGACATGTGACATGCAGCTACAGGAAACACGCCTTGGGCAATCATGACCGTGACATCCACTCCCACTCAATTGGTTGACATCTCTATCAAACAATTCTTCACAAACTCAGTGTTGTAGGATGATGTTGACTTCAGGTCTCTCGACGTGCTTTCTGCCGAATGAGTTTTTTCCATTCTACTCGAAACTACTCAAAACCACGTCTCGGTTAGTTGACTCTTCATGTCTTCTTTGTTGGTATCTTACTTTTTTCACTTGAACGTCGTACCACCTGCTTCTGTTTGATGTCTGGTTGGTTGAGAGATTAACTTTTCAAGTTACAAAGGTGGACAATAGAGTTAGTTCAATCAATTTCAAATCTTGAGGTGTAGAAAATACATGGATTAGCAACTAAAAATGATAGAACCAATACAAGAACACAAGGACATTTGTTTCAGTGGTATGATTCTCGCTTCGGGTGCAAAAGGTTTTGAGTTCAATTCTTGAAAGGTTCCCCACAACTAAGAAATTGATGTGCATAGGATTTGAAATTTGTTTCAGAAATCATCAACATTTATCATGAGTTTGTAAGGTATTGTCACAACCTCCTCTTCCACCCCGTCCATGGCCATGTCTGCAACCTTTATTTTCCTTGATATGGCTGCCACACTAACTCTACATGGTCTGCACATTTACTTCATTGACATGTTCTAAGGACGACCTCCGGTAATGTTTGATAATTGGCGGCAAAAGCCATCCTATCCCTGACGCTCCTCAACGTCACCATGCTTGATGGCGTCCCACATGCCTTGTGCCTATAAGTTGACACATCTTTATCAACCATGCTATGTTGTTACACATAAGTAACAGGTACTAGACTGTTACACTACCTCATTTTCGCTCTTTATTGTTTTCATATCTCCTTTGACAACTCTATGTAGTGATGACATTTTTTTTTGGCATCCTAGCTCTGATACCAAATATTGGATATATCCCACCATCGAAATATGTCGAAACTTGAGGGGTGTGGGCTTTTGAATAAATAAACCTTGAACATTTATACTTTTCAATTCTCTTTATTGATGTGTATAAAATTATGAGTATTATGAGTATTTATAACCGAGAAAGTATTAACAAATTCCTTAAACTTGGATTAATAACTACTTTAACTCACAAGTAAGAGTGTCAGTGGCAATTATTTTATTTTTGTAGACCTTGATCAACATTGTTTTATTTATCTTATTTATTTAAAAGTTCACTTTATTGTTTTTCAGCTTTGTTGTTATTAAAAAAAGATTTTAGTTCAAATATTTAGTTCCATCACCATTTATGAATTATTTTAAATGAACATTTTCGCACATAACTGATACTACAGACTAGTCAATGACATAAAACGAATCAGGTAAAGTAAATCAGAAGGTCAGTAATGTATCATATAGTATCCAATTCCTCTTATAGATGTAGGCTAGCCCTATTTTCCACTTTTGTAATTTGAAGCTTACTATCCCTACCAGTAAGATACATCATATAGGTTATGGGTTTCATAACTTAGTTTCACTATGGTTCTAGGTTCATATCTTCATAACTGGGTCATAGTACCGTGGTTCTGGATTATTGTCTTCATAACTTGGTTTCTTGATCATGTTCTATTTCTTGATTATTATGTTGGGCCGTACTCATTTCTAAGTTTCTCTATCATGATTATTGGTCAATTAATCTTTTAAGTATGGTTTCTAATCATATTTCATACCTCTTAATCGACCCCTTCAAATAATACTTTAGTACATGATCCATATATTGCTTACTTGTTAGTGTGAGTCCTTATCATGATCTACCCTAAAGACCTTGTCCTCGAATTCTAAGGTCTAAGCTTTTGTTTTGATCTAAGGACCTTAGCATTGTTGGTCTTAGCATTGTTGTTCTGGATTCTTGTCTTCATAACTTTTCTTTTAATAACT